ATACAAATACAAATATACAAATAATATATATCACACAGAAAAATAAAGTACTTTCAAAATATAAATAGATAAAGATAAGAAAGATAAGAAGAGAAAATTGTGCAGAAGTATGCATTAATGTAATGCATACTTATATACAGAGTAGGTATAAGAGTCAGTGACAGTGGGGGTACCGGGCCTGGTTAATGAGGCTGCAGATGGGCAGAAACTGTTTTTGTGGCGAGAGGTTTTGGTCCTGATGGACCGCAGCCTTCTGCCAGAGGGAAGTATCTCAAAGACACTTTGATGTAAGGCACTTTGTAACTTTATTTTGAAAAGAACTAGATAAATAAAGTTTAATATTTCCACAGAGAATGCTAACTAAAGGGTACAATCTTGAAAATAAATTAAATTATGTTCTTGATATGATAGTTTACTATAATACTAAACTTTATCAACATCCCTCCAACATGCATCATAACTGGATTGCAATACACGAGATAAAGGGATCAACCATTTTACTGTGTCTAAGCATGTTTCAGTAACCTCTCTCACCCTTCAGTAGGATGACACAGCTGTTTTGAACAGACGAGTCTAATTAGTTGGAACAGAATAACACACAGGTGACATAAGTCTGATTATCCCGTCCGGCAGCAACAGACTCAAGTGAGACAGATTCGTTGGCTGTTTGCAGGATTTGAAGTAATGATGATGTAATGTGGTTGGGTTAAATATTGATTAGAACTGAAGTGAACAGAAGATATTACATTACACTTAAAGCAAATACAGTATTTCTGTCTCTTCAGCTTTAAAATATGACCTCTTATTCCCTTTCACTCTCTCTGTCTCACTCACACACACTCACACTCACACACTCACACACAGATGACAGACTATCCCGTGGCCCAGTTTCAGTGGCCGCAGTCACAACAAACAGCCACACTGTTGTCAGGCAGCACACACTGAGTAATGACCACGCAGGATTTATAATCACTTGATAAGATCGTGCAACCTGAGCCTCCGTCTGTGCCGCCACATCACCAGCAGACATACAGGAGGGACCGGCTGTCAAGGTAAAGGTGGAGACAGGTGGAGGGACACTGATAGGGTGTCACACAGAGAAACAGGAATCATATTTCTAATCATTAACCACAATTTCACACAGCTTGCGAGGATGAGAACGAGCTGTGAAGTGTGTGAGAGAAACTACGGTGGCTGAGAAACTAGTGAGAAAGGTGAAAGGCCCTGGCCAGTGTTTGGTTTGTCCACTCTGGGCTACTGTAGAAACATGACAGTTGAACATGACGGACTCCATGGAAGGCGACCCGCAGTATCTGTAGTTAAAAACGTCTCATTTTAAGGTGATGAAAACACCAAAAACATAATATTCAGGTAATTACACACTAATAAAAACATAGCTGTGAATATAATATTCAATATCTGCCCATAAATACTCTTAAATGTTTCACATTGGACCTTTAAATGTATTTAGCCTTGTGTATTTTGTTGCATATTACCAGATATAGGGCCACTATTATTAATATCAGTTAAACTACACTACATTGATCAACATTAATCATAGTTAAATTATCTCTGGTTTAAATGGCCTCCCAATGCGGAGTAGTGGATCTACTTTCAACCTAGATGTGGAGGGGAACTCAGTGATGAGCTCACTGTTGTGAAAGTCAAATAACAGCCTCCCCCGGGGATAACACGAGAACCCTTGAGGCTCTGATCACGGAGAGAGGAAAGTGACGATGGTTTCTCTTGTTGATATAAACAACCACCGCTCAGGGGTTTACACGCAATGGCAATGATGCACAGCGTGTCTCTGGGCAGAGTTTACAGTTGAAATGTCCACAGACGTTTAGGGGGAAAGTCAATAACTTTCCTCTAATACATTTGGGGAATACCAGAATATTTCACCACTTAAGACTGGCTTGAACAAACTTCTTACTCTGATTTTGTAACTTAATGAAGCACTTTATTAAAAATCTACATTGTTAAATCCCAAAAGAGGATCCACAGATGGTTTCATCAGATTGTTTCATAGTTGGATCCTACAAACGATGACATGATGTCAAACACATGTTTCACAAAGGTTAGTGTTGGAAAGTCATCAGAGGATCATCCAGGGGTAATAAAAAATGTGCTTCTTGAAACATAATGCCCAATGATGTTGTTAAAATATTATATATTGAAGAACAGATGAGAAGAACTCAGTCTTTCTTTTGTATTTTATTGCCTTAAATCGATAGTGACAGCTGAAGAGTGACGGACGACTCGCAGCAAAGGGCCGCAGGTCGTAGTGCAGCGAGGACTCAGTCGTGGTAAACAGGGCGCCAACTCTACCTATTAGGATGCTCTACAAGACGTGTTTACAGCCCTAAATATACGGGTCACTTTATGTTTCTGTTCAACAAATTGTTCCCACATTGAAAACGTCTCTGATGCAGGAAATAAATAGGTGTTAAGTCAGAGCAATCACAAACTATAAGCATGAGAGTGATGTTACAGTTTGTAGATGATAGGTGATACTGAACCTACAATGGCTAAATAATACAGTCCATTTCTTTGTAGCCTTTCCTTTTAGATTGCCCTGTTTAAACTTATTGAGACATAGGGTTATACAATAAAATAGGTGTGACCTGCACCTGATCTGTGGTTTGTTGAGTGTTACTTTTACTATCATTAAATCAGTAAATATTTGAGATAAATTTGTGAATATGTCTCCATCTTTACTGGTGATGCAGGAGAAATCAAACCATGTGTGAACAGACATGATGTGCTGCAGATGCACATTCCTCAACACGGTGTTGGTTCAACTTATCATAACAGGGATTTGGTGGGCTGTCAGAAACTGAGAGAGGCACAGCAGTGGACACACACACACACACACACACACACACATACACACACCAGGTCCATCTGTCCAGCTCTGTTTGAGGTAAAACGGATGAGGTAATGGTGTTGCTCTTCAGAAGCCCGACACCTTCTATCCCTCTTTATAAATCCATCCATCACACTGCTCACATTTCTTCCTCTATACACAACAATGGGTTTGGTTTATTTAATTTCTGTTTCTTTCTCTGCATTGTTTTGTTAATTTCCTTCGGTCTCTGTGGAGTAGAACAATCTTCTACGAGTCAGCTGGAAGGATTGGAGGTTTCTAAATCTAAGACAAAAGGAAAACAGTGTTTCTCTATCAATTAAATTAAAAGGAAGAGCGATGTATTAGACCTGTTAGCCTCACATTTTGGTTAAGTGTT